TATATGTTATATATTACCAAATAAAATCTGGTTGACTAAATTTAGGTTAGACAACGCTTTTTTTCCTTTCTGCCATCCCAATTGTAAAAATACAACAGTTCGTCCGCAAATAATTGTCGCATAACTGGATCCACGTCTCCAGAAGCGCCCTTCAGTGTGTGTATGTGCGTTTTCTGTTTTAAAAAATACGTAATTAGTTTCGACCAGGTTTTGAATGTAAAAATTACCATTGCAGTGGCGTATTCATGCTCATTCAGCTTTTCCTCCACTTCCATTGCTGCATCTATTGTAAAAAGCGGAAGTACGCTAGCAACTTCCACTATTGCTTCATCAACGATGTCGCCGGTCATTTTTCCCACGGACTGCTGCACCTTCGCCAAAATTATTTTACACTCCCGCATCAGGCGATTTTGAGCCATTGTCTCGTTCCTGTTAGTCATCTGAAATGGAATAAAATATTAATTGCAAATAAATCCAATTTTTATTTATTTAACCCACATTTTCACACAAAACCTTTTCCATAGCATCAATGCGATGATCCAGCACATCCAAGCGGCCTTCAACCTGTCTTTGGTTTTCTGTTATTTTTTCGTCCATTTTATTTTGATTGGCTATAATTTGTTTCAACAATTCTGTTACTTCTATAATAAAGAAACCGGGTTAGTTTCAAAAGAACTTTAAATACAAAATAAAAAATATCACCTCCATTTGGCGTTGAATTGCTCAGCTCAAATCTTCGTTTTTTTTATAAATCCTTCTCCTATTGATAAATATGTTTGTAGGTGTTATTTCGATGATAGGTACATAAGTACAAAATAGAGTTCCTTACCATTATTATTATTATTTTTGTCATTTTCCATGATGTTTTTTCTTTTATGTACTTTAGTTTTATATTCTTATTAATATATTGATATGGATTTTTTATTATCTATTATATTTATTATTTCTTTATCAACATATTTTAATTTAATGGGTAGCGTAATGAAAGCGAAAGTATTAGTTGGAAAAATCATGAAACAGGTGGTGTAAAATCGGTATCATGATTAATTTATTATCAACGGGAATGCAAAATAATTTGTGCTTAATATCTTGTAATGAAAAACTAATAGGTTCAGATCCCAACTCACTTACCAGCATTATACCCAGTCCTGGAAATGATTCCAGCGGTTCTTCAAACAAATTTTCTGTTTTTTGGAAAACTAACCCTTTTAAACTATCTGAAATATATTCATTCATCATACTTGTAACTTTTATGACACCGAAATTTTCACTGAAATAATAACAGTCCTTTTCTTTTCTCTTGCGTGTCTCAAGTAATTGCTGATTTATAGTTTCGTTTGAGTCAGAATCAAATCCTTGCGTTTCACCAAGCCTCGAATATAATTGTTGTAGAATTTTGGTTGGGCTTTTAATTAATTTTTTAATATACTGCATATGGTTTTCATATTTGTATGCCGAAAAGTTATCTAGCTGACCATACATTTTGGCGCAATCGGATAAATGTAAAATACAATGAACATTAAAGCTAACCAATTCCTCTCCATAAATAATAGCAAAATATGAAACAAAATCCTCCAAAATTTTTTGAGCCACATTAGCTTCTACATTGCATGACTTTTCAGATAGTAGTAGTCGAATACCAGAACATAGCAGTAAGAAATGATAATATAGGTCGTCGGGAATACAATCCTTTAGAATGAATACACCACTATATAAGAGAAACTGCCTGAATTCGGTGGCTTTCCAGTTGGATATTTCATCCAAATCCCTTGAGGTTCGCCCAAATTCTGAAGGAACAAATTTATTGACGAAACTAATTCTTTGATTCATTCGCGTTACATTCCCTGTTTTAATTAACAACAAAAGCAATTTTTCATTACACCTAAATCGATAAGATGCATGACATCCAACGGAAA